GCTGTAGCACCATGAGGACTGCTGGCTCTCTCTGGGGATCTAGCATTTTATTTTCTGTAAGGTTCCCCCCCTGCAGATTTCACAGGCATTGCCCAATTTCGTGGGCAATTTGAGGATTTCTGCAAAGTACATGAAACTGCAATTTTGGTAGGTCCCTACCCATAGGTCAGGGAACACTACTAACCGTTGTCACAAAACTACCTGCGTCTGTCTCTAATGGCGTGAGGTTCAGACCTGCCTCAGCTCCTCTGAAGCAAAGCACTAAACTCCATGAGAAAGCTGATTCTCATGACGAAACCAGCCACATTTTGCAGATTCCAGGGCTTATGATTTTTTTTTTTTTTTTTAAGAAAGACAAAAATAGATTTCAGATACTGGGAGATGTGACAGACTGAAGCTGGAGGCAGACACATTCAAACTAGAGCTAGGGCCCACATTTTAAATGGTGCTAGGGATGTGACAGAAATCATTGGGTGAAATTCTCTGGCTTGCGTCACATCAGGATCAGAAGAGATGATCAAAACTGTCCCTTTCCACCTTAAAATCTATGAGCTTGGTACCTCTGTTTCTGGGTGTCCAACATGACTCACCTTAACTGAATGCAAGTAAGGGCTCAGTACACCCCCACAAAAGAGTCCCTTTATGATGGGCACCCAAAAAACAGAGGCACCAAAATGGCTATTCATCTTTTTTTCAAATTAAGGCCTCGTTCTTGAGAAGAAGCTGGGCATTCAGATGCTTCTCTGAAAAAATAGACTTCTGTCCATCTTACGTGCTGCCCTACAACTTCACACCAGCAAGTCAGTCTGAACACTAAAGAAGCCACTTAGACTGCCATTAGTCACAGAATAATTCATTGGTAACACATAGCAACTGCATAACGATCTTCACTCATACACCTCTGAGTGATGGAGACGGTTAGTATCACCATGCCTGTCTTACGGGATGGCAAACCAAGGCACAGAGAGGCCAAGCAACTTGCTCAAGGTCACATCGCACAGCAGTCAGTAGCAGAGGCCAAGTCTCTGGACTCCTTGCCCTATGCTGTAGATCCCTTGTAGCTGAGTAGGAGGCCTGCATACACATATCTCTTTTTGGCCAGATGGACCTTTTTGAGTTTCCAATGGTCTATAAAACAAATGTTTAATTATCCTTTAGCTGTGGGGAGGGTTCAGCATGATCTGTTGTCATGATCTAGGATAGCAGCTTGCATTTAAAGACCCAAATCAGGGATCAGAGCCATGTGATGAAAAGCCCCACGGAGTTTACAGTCTAATCCTGCTATGCAAGTAATTAAAGAGGTTCTTTACAAAACATGTGCACGTGGTTGGTTTGACAGCTGAATCCCTATACACCCACAAGTCACCATAAAATGTAATAGGATTTGAAAGTGCTGCCCATCTCATCTACAGCCACCTCTTGAACAAGGGTCTTACATGTGACTTGCACCAATTTTGAAGTGGCTAAGATCTGTAGACTCATAAGGGGATGGAGTGGGTCACCCTTCCCACCTGATAATGGTCAGAGACAGACATAAGAAGAATTGGGTAGCATGCAGCCAAATTTGCAAGCAGGTGTGTAGAGCCCCTCATCAATGCCAATGTCAAGCAGGCATGTTGTTGAGCGTTTGAACACAGCTGGTAACCATTTATATCTGGCAAGAGTGTTCCAAAGTGTGTACCAGAGCTTCTCTCTCACAGCCCTCCCAAGCCCGACACAAGACCTAGCACATCATCCAGCACAGGCGTGCTAAATGCTCTGCAAAATTAAGATACTTTGGCCAGATTTTCAGCTGGCTTCAGTGATCTATTCTACACTGATTGCCACCAGCTGAGGATCAGCCCCTGGGCAACTTCACTGGGAGAAAAGTGCTCTGAGCTCAGGGAGAGGAGCACTCTGACTTTCTAGCCCTCCCTGTGATTCTGTTTCCCTTCATAGCCTCAGGCAAGTCACTTAGCATGTCCCTGACATCACCTGCACTAGCATTTTGCTTCAGTTTCTCCGCTGTTGTCTGAAGACTTCCAGTGCAGCCAGGGTTTGAATTACACTTTGACTTGATGAGGGGAGGGGGGGTTGCAAAAAAAATAAATTAAAACAGTTCATTCATTAACAAGTCCACCTAAGTGAAGGAGCAGTCCAATCGGAGACCTCCCAATTTATGATTTTCAAATTTTACAGGGGGCTCTCGGCACTTATGGGGGGGGGCTGAGCCCCCCCCCTGGAGCTCCCCCTTAATTTGCACCCTGAGTACAGCTGCACCAAAGCTAGCGGGAGCAGACAGGCCACTAGTTTTTAAGCTGTCTAGACTTGCTCTAAGCCAATATAACTACTGACAGCTGGCCTTCAGCACCGATTCCACCAGCAGATGCAGCACCGCTAATGCAATGCTCTGAGATGCAGGGAAAAATGCTATTGTGCATGGACCTTTGTCTTGGTAAAACATGCCTGACAACTCTACCTCCTATCAAGGCATCTAGTTTAACAACAACACTAAGCACTTCAGCTAGGCTTAGCATCTTCAAAGGGCTCCACGGACATTGCCTAATTAACACTCAAAATCCGTGGAAGTGTTATTCTACAGCCCTTGCTTCTCTAGAATGGGATTATGCTTTTTTTGCGGCTTTAAATGCCACTTGGCTTGAAAATCAGAGTAGATTCTAAAAAGTCAACAAAGAGACTTCAGCAAGGAGGCTGGTGACTCAGACCCAGTTACAGCAACCAGCGTTGCAACTTCACTACGGACAGAAGTGACAATTTTCACTGGATCTGGCCACAGAAAGCAGTTTATAGCTGTGACCAAACACAAGTGCACAGCTGCAAAGAGCTCCAAAAATGGCTGAACCGGTGAAAAACTGATCCCTCATTGCATGAGGTATGGGATAAAGACATTTCAAAATGTAGTGTCTTTTGTAACTTGTGTCTGCAGAGCTCCCAGCCTTTGGTGTTTTCAGAATGGGAGGGAGAAAAAGGAGCAGAGGGAGTTCAGTGTTTTCAGCCTCCATGGTGGGAGCTGCACTTCTGTCAGCACCCAATTTTATGACTGGTTAGTTACTATCAGGGTGTCAAAAATATGCCTTTTTCCTCCATCTCAAACCCTACTTCCTGTCTTTTCCCTAGTGAAGATGAGGCCTAATGGGCTGGAAGAGTAAACTCCTGGCCAGCTTGACACTTCCTTAAAATGCAGAATCAGATAAATTAACCCAGGCCCAATGTACCTGCAGACTGAGACCAGCGCTATCATCCCAGCCAGTATCATCTCTTTGTTTTCTGTCTTAGTATCCGTCTGCTGTCACTTGTACTACACTTATGTTAAACGAGACCAGTTACAAACATTGTACATCACTTCTAAGGGAGAAAACGAGGGTTACCATATGTCTGGATTTTCCCGGATATGTCCTCTTTTTGGGCTCTCTGATTTCCATCCAGGTGGTTTTCTGAAATAAATGTCCAGGATTTTGCTCTGCTCCACTGGTGGGAACAGGGGGAGGGCTATTGGAGGCAGGGGGCACCATGTGCATCTGCAGGTGCATATGCAGGTGGCTGGCATGCAGCTTGGCAGGGGGGTGGGAGCAGCCTTGGCAGCTGGATGCAGTTAAGTCTATGGGGAGCGGGGGTTGGAGGGCTTAGGGACCGAGGGGGGGAGCAGGTGCCTGCTGGCACTGGGGGATGGTGTCCATGCTCTAGGGCTACGGCAGGGTACAGGGATAGGGGGGAAGTGCGTGCCCCTCCAGGAGCAGAAAGGGGCTAGGGGGCGCTTTGGGGGATCTGCACAGCCAGGCTAGTGCCCGTGGTCACAGGGGAAGGTCACCTGGGAGATGCTGCCCAGGGGGTGGGAGAGAGGCGTAGCCCGACCACCTAGCGCAGCGCAGGAACCCCAGCCCAGAGCGGGGGGGTGCCGCAGGCCTCTCCTTCTCCCTCCAGCCTGTGCTGGGGCTTGACTTGCTCTACTGCTGTGAACAAGGTACTTGCCTGGACCTCAGCTGATGTTTGTTCAGTTCTTGGCTCTGCCACAGATTTCCTTTTAAACAGGGACAGTTATGATCCTCAAGTCTCACCCCTTGAATTTCACCCAATAATTTCTGAATCAAGCCAATAACAACATCCGGTTGAGGTACTGCATGTCTTTTAGCAAGGCATCTTTTTCCCACGCTTCCTCTGCTTTGTCTAGTTTGACAGAAAAGACCATCACTTTCCTGGTTGTCAGCACAGCGCCTAACACAACGGACCCCCAATCTCTGATGCAGTGTCTAGACACAACTGTGCTGCATGAAGTGACAATCACAAAACGCGGAGGGAACGCAATGTCCGGGAGCTCCAGGTCAGACCCGCTCTTAGACAAGCGCTGAAAATACTGTGGAACATTTCTGCAAAAGTGCGTGCACCTCCTGACCATCTGCATCACCGAAGGTAACATCACAATCCTTCAAAAGGGCACTGCTTTGCAATTGCCAAAAAAACCAGAACAATGCTTCACCATCAAGAAGTAACAATATCTCATTTTTTGTGCCTTTCATAGCTTTGGCTAGGTCTGAGAATATGACAACACAGAGTGTTTACATAAAATATCTCCTTTTCCTGCTCCAGACCTGTTTCCAAAGGAGAGGCAAAGACTACAGCAACAACCAATATCAGTTTTAATGGCACAGAAGCCTCTTTTACTGTTTGTCTGCCTTTCACAAACACCTACCCTTTGCTCTAGGCACCCCTTGATAATTCTTAAACCCACATGAAAACAGATCATCACTCTTGCAATCCTGCTCCCACAACCACCCAGCAGGCAAAACCATCTGTGAGATCTCCCCATCACAGCCTTATCACTGTGGAAAACAAATGGGTTTTGATGGTCTGTAACTTAGACCAAGCAGGGAAGTATGTGCCAAAGCAATGCATCTTGTCAGCTGCCCCCCAGGGGCTTGAGTGCAGCCTGCCCTGTCAATGGGTGGCATAGGGTGTAAGCTCCCTGGGGCAGGGACAGTGTCTGCTCCACATTTGTACAGCACCTGTCACAATGAAGATCTGGTCTGTGACTGGGGCTTCCAGATGCTGCCCCTACAAATAAATACATGAGTGAATTAAGATGAGAAGGCAACTATTCTGGTAAGCTCCAAGCCATTAAGTCCCCTAAAATTTTCAGGGGAGGGGGAAAAGCTCTCCCCCCACCAAATTTAAAATGGAGTTTTCCAAGATCCTCCCCTGGATTGTATGAAAAAAACACAATAGCACCATCTCTACACCTGTCCCAATCATGATTTCAGCATTCCTGAAAATACCTGCCTTTACTGAGAACCCCAGTGAAGTTTAGTATGTAGCTGCTCAAAGTTCATAGCCTTATTTTTACACCATTAACTCCTCTCCCCAGGTTTCTAACCAAGCAAATCTTGGGGCCAAGTAATCAGACAGATCAGTGCTATCCCTCCAGACCCTGCACTGCTGTCAAACCTGAGGAGTACCAATACTGATTTGTCCTGCTCACTGGTTTGCTTTTTAACACTTTGACTGCAATCACTAACTCAGCTGGAGATCCAGGACTCGGAGACCAGCGCCTTTCCTCCTCTGTGCAAACACCTCCAGTTTAACCTCCACATGCATGTTAAAAACCAATTCCAAGGTGTAAATAATAAAGACGCTCTTACTTGGAAAAGCAGTAAAGTCGTATCTTGCTGCAGCCAGTAAATGAAGGCAGGTTTTAAAGGAAAATACTGCAAGGGAACAATGCAATCAGTTCCAAGAGATTCTCAGCGCGTTTCCCTGACTATAAAGGCAACAGGAACGGCCTCCCCGACTCTCTAGATTAACTTCCTTTCTTTCTGAGATATGAGATGCGAAGGAAATGCATGACATTCCACATGGAAATCCCAGGGAAAACAGGTCACATGCCTTGGCAATACCCACTAGCATTATGTAAGCTGCACAAGATGACCAACACCATCCTTGGGAGGAGGAAAACTCTGGCACTCGCTCTAATGGCAAATCAATGTGTAATGGAGTAAGCCTCCATGACGATGAAAGCTGTGCTCTCTGCAACTCCTGAATGCATAGGAGCAAGTCGTAACATCGGCCCTAGCAGCACCACCATACAAGCCCCAGCCCTGGTCACAGGCTTCCCTCTTCAGCTTGCATAGATATACGCTGTGGATTGCCCCCAAGCTCAACCAAGCTCTTCCTCTACCTCGCAACCCCCAGCCTTCACCTCTCCCAAATTTATTCATCGTTAGAGATGGCTCCAACCACTTCCCCAGGCAGTCAGGCCTATGATCCAGGCACTGCTGCTTCTCCCTACAACCTATTCAACCTTGTCCACCCTGCAGTCTTGTGCAGGGATAGAAGTGCAGGCTGGAAGGCATCTCCAGCTCTCACAGACAATAATCTCTTGCAGGCCCTCAGCATCACATGCCTTGACAAATATCGCCGCCTCCTTTCTGGCTGCTCCAGTGCCAACCATGCTGCAAACGCAGTGAAAAGGCGGCTGTCAGGATTTTCCTGTCTGGCTCATTCTGAACATGCCCTCACACTATTTTCCTGGCATCCTCCACCAGCTCCATATCCTCCACCTCAAGCACAAGTTCCTTGTCTTTGTCTTTAACTACTTAACCCCCAATCTACAAACTTGCTGTCCACCAAGCACCGCCTTCACATTGCCACTGCCAGCAGCCCAACACCTGTTAAATGCCAACCAGCAAGCTCAGATTTTCCTTCCGACCGAGCGTGGGGGACCAATCTTTTCTCAGATGTTAGAAGTTAGGGGCTGGAAGGCACCGTACAAGATCATCGGGTCCGGCCCCTCATGGAGAGACCCTCTTTCTATTCAGTTCACTCAGTGACTGCAACTGTGGTGGTCTGGTCATTTTGTAATGACCTTGGCAAAGAGCCCTCAGGAGGCTACTGAGCAATGTGCCAGGCAGGGAGATGTTTGGTGACAGGCCCCCTTTTCACATCTTCAAAGGAGCAATTACAAAACTTAACTGTGGGTCCAAAACCCCATGTAGTCAACAGAAATCCCCGAATCAACATTAAACACGGCAAGATGACATGGGGAATTCTGATATACAAAGGACTCTTCAATGCCCAGCAAGGGACACTGGCTTTGTGGCACTTATCTGTATGGCCATGGTGCCCACGAGCCCGAGTCAGGAATCTCACCTCCATACTCGGTACAGCCACTGCCAGTGTTACACTGCGACATACACACCGGCAACATCCAAGCATGGATGACATTATCAGTGTGCTACTACCCAATCACCACTTTTCATTTCTCTTTCACCTGCTTTGGGCTGTTTTGCATCCATTTTACAATTTGCACCAGGGCCTTTAACATGAATACCCAATGGTTTTGAGGTGGGTTTTTTTTCATGTACTATTCATTTGGCAGCAAACCAGAGACACGGTGCAAGTTTTCCAGTAATTAATTTGCATGGTTATTTTCCTAGGATCTTTGAACATGTATTTACCAACTGCCTCTCTCTCAATGCAGTGGCAGGGTATTGGTGGTATCCTCATCTCTCCTGCAATTGCCTTATGGCATGTGGTATTTCAGGGGTCCGCAGGCCATGGCTGACCTCTGATGCTATGTAATTTGGCTCATGGGTCTCCCCACAGACCCTGCGAGGAGCTCCGCAATCCATTGCCCTGCTAGATCTGATGAGCACGGCGGTGCAGGATCCAATCCTGGCATGCAGGGGCTGGGCAAGGGCCCGATCCCAGCCTGGCAAGGGTGGTAGAGCCACCAAAACCTGATCCCAGGCAGGTGGAGGCAGCATGGAGCCCCACACTGCTCCCACCCAGCCAAGATCAGGCCCCATACTGCCTCCACCCGGTCAGAGCCTGATCCAGCCCTGCGCCATTCATCTGGCCTGCGTAGTCAAAATCTGTGAGCACCACTGTGGGGGAACGTTGTTGGTGTTTTGGCTATTGTGCCTTGCAGTTGTATGAGAGGAAGCAGCAATTTGGGGGAAATCCCTTAGTTAAGTGGTTGCCTGCAAATACAGGGGACTGGATACAATGGGCCAGGAGACCCTTCCCATCCTATGTTGCCATGTTCCTGCATAAATTAAAGAGAAACCTTCCCTCAGAGCACTCACAGGTTCAGAGGATGACCCTGTCTGGAAGACCAGAGGGACATGTCCCCACCTTGCAACTTTTGAACCTTGAGTTCAACTGCCAGCTCAGCCTTTTTTTTTTGCGTGACCCTGGACCAGTCTCCTAACCTGTCCGTAGTTCCCATGTGTAACATGGGGATGACTGTTCTCCTACACCACGTAAGGCTGTTGGGGAATGCTAACGGCTGCAAGAGTTCAGCTCCTGCAGAGAAGAAAACAATTATCTCATAAGGCTGCAGCTTGTGTTAGCTGCAGGGCATTTTCGAAATGTGGGTAAATCTTGTTTGGCCAACTGAAGGGGTAATACTTCCTCCAGAAACATTTCAAAGCATGTGCTAGCTTCTGAGCCCCAGATACACTCCCACTTCACAGAACACTTCTTTCTTCCCATGCAAATGCATTCTCCTTAAGACAGCATGTGTGGCTCGGCTCTTCCACGCTCTGCCTCTCTGGGTGTGGTGCAAAGTGAAGCAAACATTGTTGGGAACAGTGAATCCAGTATCTGTGCAAGCGATCAGACTCAATAATCTTTGAGGTCCCTTTTAATTCTGATTCTCTGAAGGATACAGATGCAGGCTTGTCTGAAGAAATCACCGTGATGATGAATACTGTAATATTATGACCAAAGAAACTGCAGGGGAAAAAAGACTACCATGCTTCTTTATTGATGGCTCATAAAAGCAAAATCATCTATGCTGTCTTCCCACAGTTAATATATAAAAAGACACTTTTCCTTGCAAGGCTGAGCTGATAAGTGTACACTTTCCAATATAAGCCTAGACTTGATTTTAATAAGGGAAGAATCTTTACAAATGGCTATTTCATAAGAGCCTACGTGTCACAGTGAAGGACACTACTTAGCAATTCTCTGCCGTTCCATCTTCAAAGCACTGTACAGACATTTAATTAGTACTCAAAGCCTCCTGTGTCTCAGTCCTGTGCGTGGGTCACACCCCCTTATTAATGTCTTGCATTATAAAAACAGCATTACCCAACAATGCTTATTGATTACAGTTGTGACCTGTGTTACTCCCACGAAGAATTTTACTCTTCACTTAAGTAGGGCTCATTAATTTATCTGAAGTGCTTTGCTTTGAAGATTTAAATTGCTGTATAACTAATACGAAGTCAGAGTAGGATTCAAAGTTTCTCAAAGAGCAGTAATACTCCTAAATGCCCTCTATTTAGTTTTGATACCTTTTATTACACCAACCAAGAAATAGCAAAAAAAAAAAAAAATCAAAATGTTTTTCTGCAAGCTTGCCTTTCCTCAGGCTCAGGGAAAATTAAAGATGGCAAAAAGTCCCCACAGGTAGAAAACAAACTTCATTTAATTATGAAGGTGCAGCTTCATAAATGATTCATGAAAGTGCACCTTCAATGTCCTCTGTACAAAAATGAAGTTTATTTTTTACCTATGGGGACTTTTTACCATCAAGTTGCCTGAGCCTGAGAAAGGGCAGGTGTGCCTGAAAGCTTGCAGAAAAACATATATTTTTTTGCAACTTCTTAGTTGGTCTAATAAAAGGTCTCATCTCTGAACCAGAAGTTCTAGAGTTTTGCATTTCTTTTAGTCTCAGACCAACACGGCTACCAAATACACCCCCTCCATTCAATTCACAAGTTTTTCGGGGTTTTTTAATAATAATAAAAAAAAATGCTTTTTTTTTTTCTTCAATAACATACTTCATTCTATGCACACGCATTATATATACATACAAATACACCACCAAAGTTTTGGTGGCCGCTACTGGGCTACAACAGACAGGAGTGAGGAAACCTCGGGAAAGGCATGACATCTTTGATATTGCTAACGCCCAGGATGCACTGCAGGTAGCGCTCAAACCCCATGCCGAAGCCTCCATGAGGGATGGATCCAAACTTCCGGAGATCTAGGTACCTGTAATTTAAACAGACAGTCACATTCACAATGCGTTATGCTGAGATAATTAAAGAGATGCTTTGTATTCAAGGCTTTTCCATTTAATTACTTTCCCTGACCCCAGCCTTGGTAAGGGCTCCACCATGGATTTCTGCTACTGCGGCTATATGGGCTGGCAGTGTTGAGAGACGACAGCCACAGCTGAGATGGACAAAACCTCTCACACCAACCAGCAATATCTCCCTGCTTTGGTTGAGACAGTTTTGCTTATGGGGGTGGTTTTACTCTATAGCTTTGCTGCTATAGCTGTGCCCACCCCAGGAATGCATTGCTGGGTGATAAAGTACTCATCCTATACTGGTCAAGAGCCTTCTGGAGCAGACACGGCTTCAGACTCTTGCAACATCAGAAACGTGTGTTGCAAGTGAAGAAAAACCCCTAATAGACTCATTCCATCCTTCCCCTGGAGGTGCTGAATTAACACGATAGCAGCAGCTTTAGTTTTCTGTCTAGTCTATTTTTAAATGTCCTAAAGTGATGCGGTTTCAATAATTTCCTTGGAAGACTATTCTGCTGTCTGATGGGTCTCACTATTAAGAGAGTCCTTCTGACGTGTACCTTAGCATCTTCCTTTGCAGAAGGCAGAACAGAAGGCAGAACTGACTTGTATT